GACCAAACAGAGTCTTTAGTAATGTATAGTATTCATTTTAATTGTAGAACAACATGTGATAAAAAGTTCTACATTGAATTACAACACCATTGTTTATAACATTTTTAGTTCCTACACAACGTCTTTTCATTTTTTTCTCCTTGTCCTTTAATTACTACTGCATCATGCCCCCACCCCAATTTATTTATATAGGTTCACATCTACTATTTACCACAATATTGTTGCTAAGGAACCTGAAGGTTAGACAGCTCTTGTGGTGGAGGAGTCCTGGTGGCACAATGCTTAGAGATGAGGCTGCTAATGACAGCAGTTCGAACTCATCAGCTGCTCCATGGGAGAAAGACAGATCTTTCTACTGCCGCCGAGTTTCAGAATTGGAAACTCACAGGGACAGTCCACCCTTCCCCACGGGGTTTCTGTGAGTCAGTATCTGCTCAACGTCAGAGATTTTTCAAAGCACTGGCAGCAAGGAAGCGAAGACAACTATTACTGGCCCACTTTAACAGTTCAAAAGGAAAATTCACTCAGGGTTTTGCCTTATAAGATATGGATGCATGTAAGTTTGGCTTACAAAAAGAGGTATCTGTTATAAATAAATGCATAACTATTTTTTTAGGAGAATAGCAAATGTATGCATTAGCACTGCCTCCCAATTTTATAAGCACTCAGCTTGTTGTTACCCCTCAGGCAGTGTGTGAGGCTGGGTTGTCTAAAAAAACAAACCAGTGATGCTCAACTATGTACAAGAAAGGACCGTCTATCAAGAGGCAACTTTACAGGAAGAAAGCACCCACCCCTGCCCAACTCAAGCCCATAGGTTGGATCCTACCCTGGTGGTCCTCTTCAAATTCATATAGCTGCAGGTCAATGAAACTGAAAGGCGAAGGAGGGAGCAGGGTGGTCATAGGCAGGCGTTCACAAAGCCACATGGATCCAAGGCAGTGGAAACATGGCAGGGCACTGACAGCTTTCAGGTTCATCATCCTACTTGCGGCTGCCACAGGAGCCAAAGAGTTATAGCAAGGATGAAGGTAAATGGCCTGAGAGGACCAATGCTATTCGAAAGGCCATATTCCCAAGGAGGTGTTATCAGACAACCACTTGATTGACAGGGTAGGCTCCACCCCTACCTCCACACATGTACCATCACGTTGATAGTAAAATCAAACTACCACATACAGTGTCTCCTGGTAAAACACCAACAGTCACACTCTCCCAGAGATGCTGCTGCAAGCTTTTAATGTGGTGGTGGGTTCAGCCTTAGTAAAAATTATTTTTAAAAAAACGCTATCTACTTAGTGGTGAGGAGAATGAAGACAAAAAAAGAGACATGGAAGTCTGGAACAGCAAAGAACACTTTTTATATACTGAAGTGTTTGGTAAAACCGATGCCTGTGCTAGTTTAGTAAACAGCACACATCTCTATAAAGCTACAGGGAGAACTGCTTTAAAACAGTGGAATATTCATGTGCTTTGATAATTCTATGCTTTTTTCCTTTCCTTTTTTTTTTTTAAAGCAAAAATACTACAACAAAACCAGGATCACAGTCAGGAAACATTGGACAGTTCCAATAAAAATATAGTAGAAGCTAGTGCTTTGGTAAAGGAGTTCTTCTGTGTTCGCCTCAACCTAAATTGACTCAGAGGAGAGAAAATTAAGTTCATTCAGAAGTGAAAAACCAACAGCCTTTCCACGCAGACTATGAGAGAAAGACTGCCACACACACCATTTCCCAAGGCTTCCTGTAAGAAAATAAGACCGGCTCTTATCCTGCATTCCAAGGGGGTTCAAGAGGGTACAATCTGCCTGAGAAAATGTATATACAAAAGGGATAGCCAGAGTTAGGGAGCAGGGGCCCCGGCAGTGTAGACACTCCTGGGCCTGGTACTTTATTCGGGACAGGCTTAAATACATCCCCCCCGAGCGTAGCCTGCAATGGGTGACAGGTTTTCAACAAAGGGACTATTCACAATTTGAAGGTTTATGAAGCATGGACACACCAGTCAAGGTATTTACAGATGGGAGGGGAAGATGAGGCTGGGGACATGAAGTCACTGATAAGTGGCAGACTGCTGCCTTCTGCAGCTTACATCAAGGAACAGGAGGCAAATGTCCATTAATCTCAGGAGGAGAGACAGGCCAGCCATTGCTTCATCAGCTCCCAGGGCTGAGCCATCAGCATTCTCCCATAGGCCATGAACCGTGGAAGGTGGTGGTCCTGTCTCACTTCCCCAAGGAGAAAATACACCCCCCACCCCCGCCCAGCTTCCCAACTGGACTTTGTAGCCAAACACAGGAGAAATTCAGAGATCAGGGGCTGTCTTACATAAATGACTAATTTTTCATGACCATGAGTTAGCCATTCTTAAAATGACAAAAAAGGAGAAAACATCAGTAAAATTAAAAGGTTTAAAAACTATTCCGAAGAGATCTTTGGGCAAGGTTCTATCACGTGCAATTAAATAGACCAGAAACCTTGTTTTTTGAGGAATATTCAAGTTCACCTGATCTCCAAAGACTTTTGTGTGATACTTAAAGCAATCTGTGCTAGCATGGGATCAGGAAATCTGAGCAATGGTCCCACACTGGAGTGCATGCCAAGATCTGTTTCAGAGGATGGCATGGAGTCTGATGAGCTAAGGATCATCTCCCAGGTGGCCAAACTTGGGACCAAACAGGTACAATGCATAACAGAGTTACTTTCACAGAATCTAACTCGAGATATTTCTTCCAATGTCCGGTTAAGGAGTTCTTACAATTCCTTCCAATTTAATATCACAATTGCCATAAGCCAGTGACTTTTTTTATCACAAAGACTCTTATTGCATTTATCCTATTTCTATTGCATTTATATAATTGAATCTAGGTATTTATGCATTTTAAAGTGGGGAACTATGAGGGGGAAAGTGAATTTCTTTTTTATATAGGCCAGCAGACTACTGGGCTGCTTGTTGGATCACATATAGATAGTTGTGCATCACCCAGAGATATACAGGTTTAAGACGAATGTCATTACTGGACAAGACATAGGGCTTTGCTTCTTGGAGAATGAATGTTTCCGTATGCAACAGGGGTTGGATATGTATATTTCGTTGGTCAGAGAGACAATCTGTTAGAAAGCATTCATTTTTCCCCAACAGATATTCCCCAAGTTCATTTTAGTAAGAGAATCTATTTCATTTTAATTGGGTGCAAGGTAACCAGCTAGCAAGAATACATTTTCCAAGTCCCTCTTGCAAAATAAGTCTGACCAAACAATGATTATTCACTACTAGTGTGAGCCTCAGTTCCTGTCATGTGGATTCCCACACACACCAGCCACAGGAGTGCCAACATCACACTGTGCTTCACCAGGTTTTCAGAGGCTGCTGTTCCTGACGTGGATCAGTAAGTCCTTCTTATAAGCTATGTCTGGGTCGACTCAAACCTCCAATCATTTCACTAGCAGCTGGCTGCATGATTATTTGCACTGCCTAAGGAATCAAAAATATGTGAGAACTATTCCAGAGCCATTGGAGTTAGGTCTTTGAAAGGGAGCTCATTATCTTCAACTAACTATGCCTTCTTGCTGGTATAAAAGACACCTTGGACACAAAGGTTTAGCTACAGGTTAAGAATAACAGATTTACTTCACTACTTTATTTCCCTCAGTGAGAAGAGTACATCGATTTGCGCTGAGGTTTTATACAATCTAATCTTTTTTCCTTTGTGTTTAGACCCATTCTTGGTCGACTATAACCTCCCTAGGATTCCCATCCATGATTAATACTCTTCTTTAAAAGATGTACATATTTCAAGTGTATTAAGATTATTTTTAAGCTCAAATATTCAGATGTTGAACATATAGAACTAATCTTGGGTTGTGGAACATAAATCACATTACAGCAGAAAAATGTCTGTTTACATTTTTACTTTAGTTTGTTGACAGCATGGCTCATTGTATCACAGCTCATTGTCTACAGCCTCCAACAATCAGTTAAATTTTTATACACTTCTATCATTTTATTTCAATGTAGAATCATTTTATATTTCCATTTCCCATATGTTGCATTAACATATAAACTACATATCATTTTATTTCAAAAACCTGGCCTTGTAAGTCATAGTATTGATTTGCTAAAAAGATGTTTTACAAATAAAGCAATCCTTTATTTGCAATTTGGACGCATATTATAGCATCCTAACAAATAATGTGTGCTTATATGTGCACACACTTATATAAGCACGCAGGCATGAACACCCAGTTATTTTCTTTCCTTAAAAACAAATGCCTTGAGTTTAATAAGCATTCTCTTATCTCTTTTTTATTTAGTACAAAATTTCCTCTTGGCAGATCTTTAATATCCTAAACCAAATCTACAGTCATCAAATAGATTCTGACCCATAACCACCTGTTTCCAAGACTATAAATCTCCACGGGAGCAGACAGTTTCATAATTCTTTTTTGGAATGACTATCGGAGTTCAATCATCAATATTGTGAACAGTAGTCAGACCATTGCCTCACCCACTGTGTCACCAGTGATCCTTTGATACAAAAACACATTGCCATTGCAGTTAATTCCAGCTCACAGTGACCCTATCTCTACAGGATTTCTGAGTTGGTAAATCTTTACAGGAGCAGAGAGCATCGTCTCTCCCCAGTGGAATCCTATTGAGTGGCTAGTGGTTTGAACTGCCCGCCTTATGATTAGCAGCACAATGTCTCACCCCCAGGACTGTTAGCACCCATTAATTCTTAGGTGTAATCATTCTTATCAGTTTATTTGGGTACTTTCATTGTTTAGCAGTTTGTTAACTTCTACCCCTCCCTACTCAAAAACTAGGGTTTTGCCTTGATTTCATATTTCCAATAGAGTAAAAAACAAGTAGGATTTTAAAAAGAGAGAATGAAAGAAACAGAGATGTTCAGTTTATTTAGCTCATGTTCCTTCAAGTTTAATAGTGTAGTAGTACATCCTCCCTATGATGCACAGACTCAATGACGGTTGGTTGGTTGGTTGGTTGGTTGGTTGGTTGAAGCACAGTGGTGGATTTCATATGGGATCTTAAGTAGGAAAATGTAAGGTACAATCAAGAAGAGTTTAATTATCATGCCAATGTTTAAGAGTTCCAGGTGTCCGGTACCTTGGTCACTAGCTAAGTCTTATATGTCCATACAAATTGAGGTGCAAAGGCATTAAGAGGACCTAAAGGCTGTGTATGGGAAACAGGCGGAGGGAAAGCTGTGAACTATAGGTTGCTCAGGGCATTTACCCCGGGAAGGACTTTACCTTCCAAAAGCTCAAGACTGGCACCTCCTCCAGTGCTCACATGGCTGACTTTATCTTCCGTGTCCCACTTGGCACAGCAAGTAGCAGTGTCTCCACCACCAATTATGGTGATGCAGCCCTTGGAAGTGGCTTTCACCACTTCATCCATGAGGGCTCTAGTCCCCTTAGCAAAGGCCTCCCATTCAAATACCCCTACAGGCCCATTCCACACAATTAGCTTGGCTTTGGCCACAACTTCAGCAAATTTCTTGTTGCTCTCAGGACCACAGTCCAAGCCCATCCAGCCCGCAGGTATGCCGGATGCAACAGTGGCTTGGCCTACTTTGCATCGCTCCTCAAACTTGTCGGCAGTGACAAAGTCTACTGGAAAGGTTATTTTCACACTGTTATTCTGGGCTTTGGACATGATATCTGGGACAATCTTGGCTCCCTCCTCATCAAATAGGGAAGCACCGATTTCCATGTTGTTCAGTACCTTCAGAAAGGTGTAGGCCATTCCACCACCGATGATCATCTCATTGACCTTGTCCAGCATATTTTTGATGAGCTGGATCTTGTCTGCCACTTTGGCTCCTCCAAGGATGGCCAGAAAGGGTCTCTCTGGGCTTTCCAAGGCTTTAGAAAAGTAGTCCAACTCTTTCTTCATCAGGAACCCAGATGCTTTCTGGGGTAGATTCACTCCCACCATCGAACTGTGGGCCCTGTGCGCAGTCCCAAAAGCATCATTGACATACACATCTCCCAGTTTGGACAGCGATGCTCGGAAAGCCTCTACCTTAGCTGGCTCGGCACTGATCTTCTTTCCAGAAGCGTCTAGACCTTTCCCTTCTTCCTCCACATGAAAGCGCAGGTTTTCTAGCAGAATGATGGAACCACTAGCCGGGTTGGCGCAGGCTTTCTCCACTTCTGAGCCCACACAGTCCTTCAGAAAGAGAACATCCTTGCCGAGCAAAGACTTAAGTTCCGCAGCAACAGGCTCCAGAGAGTACTTGTCCGGCATGGGAACACCATCAGGCCGGCCAAGATGGCTCATAAGAACTATCGCCTTGGCCCCATTATCTAGGCAGTACTTGATGCTCGGTAAGGAAGCCTTGATTCTCTGGTTGTTTGTAATACGATTTTGTTTCATGGGAACGTTGAAGTCCACTCTCATGATGACTCGCTTCCCTTGAACATCCAGTTTGTCCAAAGTCAACTTTTTGGAAAGAGACATTTTGGAAAAGCAGTGTTATAGGATGACTCGGGTTAGGATGTTGAAAAACCCAATTTACTGCCTCTTGAAGGATGGGTCTGGGAGGATGCCTAACGTCTTTCTTCTTGTCCCGCCTTATCCTTTTCCGCGCGGCAGCCCTGATTGGTCGGTGCCGAGAAACTCTAGCTCTATTATTGGTCAGTGATGCTGTCCATTCGTGTGTGGCTTTGTCTATTGGCTCATATTTGAACTGCCAGGGGGTGAAGGGGAGTCTGGAGTCTGGAGTTCTGCCTTGGGATGTGGGCGAGGGGGTCTGGTAAAGAAATCTTGGGGTCTTATAGCCAAAGAACAAACACGAAAAGATCATTAAAAATTTTTTTTAAAAGAAAGAAAACAGTCATTCCCACAACTCATGTCAAATCAGAATTACTTGAAGTATAAACCGTTTGTATTTCCAAATAAAGGAAGCATATGAAACATTGGGTTTATGTAGGCTTGTTCATCCAATTTAGTAAGCCTCTGCGTTTTCTCTAGCTCTATAACTATTTCTGTTAAGAGTATAACTTACTTTGGTTGGATTGTAGGGAATGACGGGACGTTTTAAACACCTGTCGTCCATTCTCAGATACCAGGAAAGGTGGTTTATCTGAAGATCCTTAAAATAATCGCACAGAGCTCTGAAGCTGACTTGGAGCGACTGGACCTTTCCAACTGCGGACCCTACAGGGATAGCAGCCCAATGCATAGCTACTACTAGCACATGAAAGAAAATAATATTTGTCTAAAATTTATTTTCTTGGAAAAAATGAATGAGATTAACATGTTTTATTATCCTAAATCTAATATACTAATTTCCTAACTCTAATGCGGAAATTAAATCAAAATAGTACGGAAATTTTCACCAACTTTGAAGTTCCTTCATCTTCGATCAAAAAAGTGAAAAATTAAGAATTATAAATCAAAATGGTATGTTTTCAGAAAAATTATATTTATAGTAGCCTAATATATTTCATAATTACGTATACATTTATATTTAGCACCTTAATTATTTTATTAAATTCCAACAAGGTATTTTAATCAATTGTTTATCAAAAATATTAGTGAAAGTCAATCTAGAAAAAAAAAGCACTTAGAGCTTTATGATTCTAGGAAATAACAAGAACTTTAAAATATCACTTTATAAAGATGTGTTTGCAGCAGTGAAATTTTAAACATAAGGTTCTATTACATTAGAATAGAATTACATAGTGAAAGTAAAATCGACCTATAAGTTCATTTAGTAAAAGCAACATTGTCTAATATTGTTCATGAATAGCTAGGTTTTGTGCATATGGTATGTGTTTTAATATATATTGATATTTAGATACTATTAAAATGATGGGACTCATTCAAAGTATAAACATTTTCCATTAGTTGGCAAATGTATCCTTTATAATACATACATATTCTATCATAGATGAAATTGAGAATAACTGTCTTGATAGCAAAAATAATTTGGGAGGTATCAACTTGCCTTTAATTCTATATAATATATATA